CAAAGCTGTTGCGGCCGTATGCATTGCGCTTCTCGCAGATAGGGGAAGACTAAGGTACGACGACCTTGTCGCGAAACATTGGCAAGGTTTTGCAAAAAATAGTAAAGAAAACATTACCATTGAATGGGTGATGTCTCATAAGGTAAGATAAACTTTTAGTCAATTGAAGAAATTATATAATTATTTGTAGTCCGGACTTCATTACTTTGATGCACCAGTCACGGAAGAGGCAGTGCGAAACCATAACCTTATGAGGGAACTAATCGAGAACGAGACGCCCAAGATACCTCCCGGGACCGGCAGCGGGTACCACACATTCACTTATGGTTGGCTTGTTGATCAAATCGTTAGACATACGGATGAGAAAAAGCGCGGAATCGGACAGTTTTTGAGAGAAGAAATTACTCAACCCAATGGTAATTTAACAATTAAATCACCAATACGTATCTCGGAAATGCGTAAAACATTAGTATGTACAAGATATGAAATCCAGAAATCCAATCAATGTAGAATTTTGATATGCAAACTTGCGAATTTATTTCGACGACTTACAATGGAAGGTGCGGAAGGCTTTTAGGTTACATCGCAGATACTGAAAGTGTACTAGCCGTGACCAAGCAGCCATCTTAACCAGGTTCTAGTAAGACTTGCTACAAGAATGTTCTACAGAATTAGTCAACGTGATAAAGGCAAGAGTATACCTCTCCGCCTTGATCCGCTGAAGGTGTCTATTGGCTTATTGGAAAAGTATTCGAAGTTCTTTTTTCCAAATCACTAGATTTTTGAGAATTCTAAACGTTTTGCAGCGAATGCTAAACCTAAATGAAAATCTTCGCCCAAAACAGCGCCCTGATGAACTTCTCCGCTGGACACAACATTCTTGCTATGGAAGGAAGCGGTCATATTTGTTAGAATAAACTCCAAGGGGGCAGGGAATACCTCTTGGGTGTTGATCTCAGGGCGTCTTTTTACCATTTATGGTTCCGAGTTCTCTCTGCCAGCCTTTTTCATCATCTCCAAATTACTTAGCTACTTCCTATGATGACGTCTCCTCATGTTCGAAGCAAAAGTGGTTCTCATATTCAGTAGCAGCAAAAAGATAACAACCCAAACTCTAATTATGTAAAAGATCTGCAAAGTGGCTAATTAAACAGTATCTCAGCAGACCTGATAAAGACCTCTGAGACTGACTTGAATGAGCTCGGGTTTGATGCTAGTCTCCCTGGAATGTATGAATTGATTCAAAGAACTTGCAACCGAATTTGAATTACCTACTTAAATACTTACATAGTCTGTCTTCACTTGTCGTGCAGGCCACATCACTGTTTCCATCCGTTCCTGTCTTTCGCTAGCGTCATCCG